ATAGATAGATAGATAGATAGATAGATAGATAGATAGATAGATAGATATAGTATTCAGCTTTGTTGGGGTATTTTCCCATGTCATTATAGTTGTGCTTTTAAAGTTGTAGCAACGTTTCGGCAGAATCTCATCTGCCATCATCAGGCTTCTGTATTGTGTTCGTCTGTGAGTCAGACTTTTACAGTTGTTTCAGTTTTAAATTTGGGGCTAGCCTACTGCTGTGCCAGAATGGATGGATGGATGGATGGATGGATGGATGGATGGATAGATAGATAGATAGATAGATAGATAGATAGATAGGTACACACACACACACAAATTGCATGTGTTCTATTTCTTTGAGAACTGTTGATTATGTGCCATCAAGTCAGTCAATCTTATAGATTTTCTCCAGTAATTGTGCTTTAAATAGACCTACTGAAGCTTTAATTAGTAAAGCATGATGATGGCTCCTTGTTTCCATATTCTTAATGTGGCAGTGTTTGGATGCAGCTTACTATTTTTCTTTATGATGGAAAAAGTTGTAAAGGAATGCATAATTTGGTAAGAATTGCCAAGAATTGTGTTGGACTCGAGCAAAATTTTTATGTAACCTTTTACTGAGAAAATACTAGGGCTCCACATGCTTCCGGCACTATTTGGAAGAAATGCTTCAGACATCATTCAAGTGCAGCCTGCTGTATTCATTGAAATATTATTTCTATACAGCCTTTGCACAACCCTGGAAAAAGATTCTTAGGCTTTATGGAATTAACCCATTAAATTTAATATGTTTTTAAGACAGCTGCTCCTTTTTTCAGGCTTAACACTGCAGGAAGATAAAGAATATCATGCATTCTGGATTTGATCTTTCAATATATCAAACAAATACAAAAACCACAACTTTTCAGGAATAAGATTGAGCAGAATATGAAGTTTCAGAATATAAACTTTACTATATATTTAATCACCCTCATTTATTGAGTCTGACTATTTTATTTATTTGCTTGTTTGTCAAACATGTACAAGATAATATATATAAGTATGAACATAAACAAGAACAAAGGGAGTAAATACAGATAAATGGAGACAGTAAGACAGGGACGGTAGGCACACTGGTAAGCTTATGCACGCCCCCTTTAAGGACTCCCTAGGAATGGATTGAGCTCCACTGTAGACAGTTTGAGGTTGAAGCTGTGAGGGGTTGAGACTGTAACAATGGAGTTGGGTAGGGCATTCCAGGCATTGAGCACTCTGTTGCTGAAGTTGTATTTTCTGCAATCAAGTTTGAAGCGGTTCACCTTGAGTTTGTATTGGTTTTTTGCCCGTGTGTTATTGTGATTGAGGCTGAAGAAGTCATTGACAGGTAAGACGTTGCAACAGACAATTTTGTGTACTATGCTTAGATTGGACTGAAGGCATCACAGTTCTAGATTGTCCAGGCCCAAAATTTCAAGCCTGGAGGCATAGGGAATTCTTTGGTGAGTGGAAGAGTGGAGTACTTTTCTCGAGAAATACCTCGGAACACACTCAATTGTGTTAATGTCCAATATACAGTGCGGGTTCCAGGTGGACAAGCTGTATTCAATAATTGGTCTGGCAAAGGTTTTGTATGCCCTAGTTAACAATTCAATGTTACCGGAGAAGAAACTTCTCAAAATAAGATTAATAACTCTTAAAACCATTTTGGCAATGCTGTTATAGTGACCTCTGGGGCTTAGATCATTTGAGATAAGTACTCTGAGGTCCTTGACAGAGTGAGGGCCAATTATTATGAGTTTATTCTACTTCTTAATATTTATTATTAATAGATTTCTGAATGCTGAAAATTTTCTTGCATTGAGACAAACCTTTTACAGCCTTCTGAAAAGCAAAGTCAATGGAGAAGCTGTTGTTTCCCATGGTTGTTAGCAACATGACAACCATGTTACTAACTAAACAATTGCAGTGATTCACTTAACAACTGCAGCAAGAAAACTCGTAAAAAGGAGCAAATCTCTAACAACTGTCCTGCAGAACTTTTGGGCTCAATTGCAGTGATAATTTGAGGACTCTCTGTATATTCTTTTCAATGATTTGTCACTGGAGCACTTTTATCAGATGTATTATAGAAAATTGGTTCACTGTCTTCGCAAACCCACAAACATCCATACATATGCAGACACATGAAAGCTAGGATCAGATCTATGTGAGCTTTTAAAGTGACCTATTTTTGCAACCTTCTAAAGGTAGAAATATTTCTTTTTCCCCCATTAGATTGCTTTTCATGCATTTTGTCATGGTTGAACCATGACAGTTAGAGGCCCAAACTACAGCAGTGTAAAAGAACATTGCTCAATAAATTCTTATTTTGGTTGGGTTTGTGTTTCCCAGTAAATGTCAGCATACATAAATATTTTACTCGATATTTAGCTAACTTTATAACTTGGTGAAACTGAAGCATAAACACCAGCTGCAGAGAAAGTAAAGGATTTAGTTCTAAACATATTTTCTTTGAATGTTGTCAGGTGGGTGGTTTGTGTGTGAGAGAGAGATTGTGAGAGGGAGAGAGATAGCAGTATCAGAAAGAAATTCGCCAAATGCTTTTTTAGACATTTGTCATAGGCAAGATCTAATAGCACAATACCTTAACCCCCTCTTTATTTAAAACAATCTAATCCAAATAATTACATATAAATTTGCATATTCCCATCTTCAGATATTTGACAACTTGAATCTAGAAAATTCTAGATAACAAAACTTTATCTGATGTTCAACAGCTGCCTTTTGAGATAAAATTAGAAGTTTCTAAGGGCAGCATTCACAACATTAAACTACCATGCTGCTGTCTGTAGCATTCTTTGATTTTGTTTAGAACAGTGTTTCCCATATCTGTCATCTTCCAAATGTGTGGACTTCAGTTTTCAGAATTCCCAAGCCAGAATTACCATGACTGAGAATTTTGGAGGTTGAAGTAGGTGCATTGGCTATTGGTAATCTACACTTTTTGGATTCAGCTATATTTTACAATTATCCTTCCCCTGGGGAAAATTGCTAGATCCACGCTTAACCAGTGTTCATTGTCTTCTGCTTATAAAGTGTCTTAAGCCTCAGTGGCACAGTGGTTAGAGTGCAGTACTGTAGTCTACTTCTGCTGACAGCTGGCTGCCTGCAAAACTTTCAAATCTCACCAGACTCAAGGTTGACTCAGCCTTCCATCCTTCTCAGATGGGTAAATGAGGACTCAAATTGTTGGGGGCAGTATGCTGTCTCTGTAAACCGCTTAGGGCTGTAAAGCACTGTAAAGCGGTATATAAGTCTAAGTGCTATTGCTATTGAATAATTTGAGTCTGACAAATGTAAAGCTTCTAATCTTTTTCTGCCCTCCAGATCACCAGTTGTATGTCATTGTTTGATTGATTATGCACCATCAAGTTATTTTTGACTCTTAAGGACCAATATGTACATCACTCTAAACTCATTAATATTTGTACTAAGAATGAGTCATATTAAATTTTAGGTATTTTTTCATCCATTGTGGTTATACAAAAAAGACTGGAAGTGATTGTAGTTTCTCACACTTTTTCCATAACAGATTATCTATATGCCTGATCATTAATAAGCATTTTATTTGTTCTGAGATTCTTCTAATGATAGCCAGAGCATGCTATTATTTCTAAAGACAGAGTTCCCCAACCTTTTCGGCTTTACGGAGTGGGAGGGGAAGGGATGGTGCCTTGTGAGTGTCTGGCAAGCACACACATGTGTCAGCTTTGAAATTCAGCTGCCACATTTTTTTAAGGGAGTTGGAGGAGTTGAAAAGTTCAAGGTTATTCTGTATGTCGTTTTAAGAAATTCCAGTTTCAGTTAATTGGTTCTCGTGATTTATGAAGTGTAGAAGTGGGAGGAGAAATTGCTTTAGACATACCAGGTCTGTTTCTAAATAAATTAATTGGAGAGAAAATGTCTCGGAGTGATTGATATCACGGATATTTTCTGGATGCCTTACATTTATTTCCCAAAGTCCACTTTTATTTTTTGAAGGGGCTTGGCTGATACCCCGGAGTTATTTTCCCAGAGCTGGAGAAAGATCAACAATCAGCTGAAGTTGGAGATGTGCAGGGGGGTGCGTGTGGGGGCCCTCCCTCCGGAGCATTAATTGAATCTGCCAGCCCTTGTCTGGAGGAGATGATAGATGCTTTCAGAAAGAGAAAGAGATTTGGGAGCCATACCGAAGCATTTCAACTCAAGAAGTTGTTATATCCCTGATGTAACCCAGCTGTCTGAAGAGAAATCTTTCTCTAGCCCCAGGCATATTGCTATTCTGTCAGATTGGAGGGAAGAGAGACAATTGGGGTCGAAATTCTC